AACTATATTAAATAGTTTAATGTATTAAAAAAAGTTAAAATAGCTATAAAACTTATAAAATAATTTTTTAAAATAAATAATATATTAATTATTTTTTAAAGCTTTAATTAATAAAATAAAAATAATTTTTTTAATTATTATAAATAAAACATTTTTAAAGCTAGCTTAATAAAAAATTTAATAATAATAATAATAATAAAAAAACTAATAGCAACAATAAATATAACAAAAAAAAAAAAAATAATAATATAAGCAATAATAATATAAACATTAATAATATTAAAATTAATTAAGTTAAAAATAATAACATAAAAATAAAAAATAATATTAATAAAAATAATATTAATAATAAAAATAATATTAATAAGCTATTTTATTTATTTAAATAATAACGTATTATTTAATTTAATATATTTTTAATATTATTAAAAAAAATAAAACTTATAAGCTTAATTAAAAAAATTACTTATATTTTTTAAATATAATATTATATATAGTTTAATTTATATAATATTATTTTTATAAATAAATATATTTAGTTTATATAGCTGATTTAAATAGCTTGATTTAATAAGGCCTAAGTAAAAATAAAGCGCTGTTAACTTTTGAAACAGCTTTAAAAACATGTTTTTAAAGCTAAGATCATACTAAAAACAGTAAATCAAGCCTCCAGCGACCTAAAGAGCGCTATGCCTGGTAGCGTCGACTTAAGATCTATTAATAACAGTTTCCCAGAAAGCTTAGGAAACTTATATGCTTAAACACAGGATTGTGATTATGGACACGAAAACCAGTCGCGTATGGTTCAATTTGATCTGTAAATCTAGACGTATGATGGAACATGGATCAAATGAAAATTTCCATTCTACTCACGGATCTCATGCGGCAATATCTTGGAACTGGTTTACATATTATTTATGATCAAGGGTTATATTCTTAAAACTAAAACGTCAGGTAACTAGTTAGTTCACGGCTACCCTGTGGTGTAGAACCAGGGGATTCTGTGTCTATAGGTGACTGAATCCCCTTGGGTTTCGGTGGTTCAGGAATCAATTGATCACTCTATTGAGCCCTACCTAACTGGCTGCAAGCATGTCTTTCTACTCACTCTGAGCACTTAACATCTAGGGGCGAGTAGATTCTTGCGCGGGATTTCCTTGCTCTTTCGGAATTGGTTTGAGAGTTGCATCAAGCCGAATGAGCTCGAGTTTCTTGATCCTGCCGCATGATGCAAAGGAGCCCTTACTCTTGGCTTCTGAACAAAGTACTGGCATCATTCTTCCTATGTCTTCCCAAGTCTGACTGTCTGCATTGTACATCTGGCCCTGTTGGTAGTGACACATTTCAGATGATAAATAATGCCTGTTTGCGAGAGTAAGAGTCGAGATGAAGAGTTGATTAGAGGTTTGGGGACTGAGCTATCTCAAGTTCTGCATTTACTGGATCTATAATTCTCTCGATTGCTTTATATATGTAGATTCACGGTGAACGATGATCATAATACAAAGACATTGTGACCCGATAACTACCTCTGTATTTAGACAACTTGATTTTTAAGACATAAGCAACAAAGACCAAGTTTAAGGGCTAACTGTCTGTTTTTTCTTAAAAGCTAGCTACTTACCTAACAGTATATCGATCATCTCCTCAGTCCTTATTAAAACAAACTGGAACTAGTATATAGTTCATTCAGGCTTGTCCTATATATATAGACCCAACTAGGAAAGGCTCCAGTCAATGGCGCTATAGACTCCAGATTCCGTCTATCCACAACCGCCAGTTAAGGTTTAAAATAGCTCTATTGAGAAAAAGGGACCAAAAGATAAAAACATGAACTCCGAATCGGGGAATCGAACCCCGGGCTTGACGGAACTGTTCTACATCATACAATATAGTTGAGAGCGTCAAATGTTAGCCACTACACCAATTCGGATTGGGATATAACAGCGCAGCTACAACGTACAACACCCAAGATTTCGGTAGCTGTAACACAGAAATCGGTCATGCGTTGTCCGCCAGCCATTACCGGCCTTATACAATGTCTTATTGAGATATTCCAGCCGACAAATATTGAATTTCGAGTCACTGCACGCTAATTACTGGACATGTACATTGACCAGTGATTGGAATAGAACGACAAGTGAGTAAACTCCCTTCTCTCTTGCCGGCGTGACTCTTTGCAGAATGAGTAAGTAACAGGGATGGACACGGCGCGACAACACATGGATTTGGAGCAATCAGAAAGTAGCCATGCTGCTGCAGAAACTGCTAAAGTAGTACCCTATCCACGTCTGCAGCTAATTTCAGGGCACCTTGCCTCGAGATTTAGTAGAAATTTATCCGCTTTAAGTGCTTGGGGTGGGAGATAGTCTGAATAATTAACCAGAACCCATAAACTCACTCTAATTAGCAATGAACATAATACAAACACGGGGTTTGTGAACAGGGTATGCTGACTTGTGGCATAGAGTAATAATTAGTCTCGCACACTATGCAATCCGACGTCTTTTCTCGCTCGCTCTTTTTTTTTAATCCGCGCATGCTATGACTAGATCCGTTCCCAACATGCACGCGGCGCCAATCTGCTAGGACAGGTGAATGCTGAATGTGAGCCTTTACTCCTCGATCCCGGTCGTTCACCCCGTTTCTTGCCCCCTGCCTCGCCTTTTGTCAGCATTTATATACAAGGTGTGTTTATTGATATCTAGTATCGCCAGTGCAAATAGTCCAAAGCTCGCTCGCTATATAAAATGAAAGGTCAATAGGCCCCGAGAGCTTGCTCCTCGCTTCATCACCTCAGATCTCGTTATTCGGTTTCACATAACAATGAGCTACGCAAATATTAGCATTTGCCTTTTCAGGGAGTGAAGCAGACTGCTACGGAGAAATAATGACTGGAACTCACTTCAATCAGTTTCTCCGTAAGCCCTATGAGTTGCTTGTCGAACTCTCGAGACTGTAACAAGGAATTCGAACGCCACAGCCCTTCGAATCCCATATCCTCCAGAATATCAGTGAGGGTATCATGATCCTCCTTAGCGGCTGCGAACTTAGGGTTAGAAGTCACCATCCGAAGCAATTCATGCGCTGCTTTCATTGCTTCTGGTCTCTGGGCGTGAAGGAGAACTTCGTCAAGAAGAGACGTAATAGTCGAACACCTAGGAACAAATCGTTAGCTAAGGAATGTTCCTCAATATGATGCTCGTAGGCACGGTCAATACTGACAAGGGAAGGATAACCGTCGGTCGCTCTATCGCTAAATCGCACAGCCACATCAAAATATGTGTTTGGATATCATCTTCCAAATTTTGGAAATCTACGAGTTGAATGGCGGTATGAAGGAGAAGATCTTTATCTCTAATGTGCTCTGCGTGACGTATATTGCGATCCAGCGTGAGATTGGCGACGCTGGCGGAGTTGATACCAGCAGACCAAAGGCACTCTTTGACCTTTTCTGAATCTACTACTCGTGACTGTATCAAAGTCATATACGGAGACTGGTAGAAGACTCCAGAAGAGATCTTGGACGATTTAGCAGAGATGGAGCTCGTCGTCAATTCCAGAAACGTCGATACTACTCGAAGCGTAGATGGCTTCGTGAAGCGGTCTGTGAGGCCGCGCACTAAACAGGCACAAACAGCGAAATGGAAATTGTCCGGCGTAAAATGAACACCGTAAACGTCGTCTAACGGGAGAGTGGCCTCCTCTAACGTGCCACGGCCCTGGAGGAGAAATGACGCTGTTTTCTCGCTCCTCAGCTCACCCGAGACGCTAATGTTTGTTAGAACGGCCTCTAATAACTGTGTTGCACAACTAAAGAGACGTGCAGTTGGCATGAGACGGATGAGTGACATCGCAAGCCAGAACAGCTGCAGCCCGTAGCGAGATGCTGAAGTCAGCTTAACAATCATCTTAGACAAAGAAGTTGCGACGGCAATGAGCATCTCGGTAGAACCATCTTCTCCAAAGCGAGTGATGCTGTGACGAAGAGCCACGAGAACCTGGTAGAGCAGATCATCATCGATCTCCTCCCGTGCTAAACAACCCATCACAGTGAAAGCTCGTGGCTGGATCGAAGGGTTGTTCTGAAACGCGGTGCTAGCGACTAGGCTCATCCATCTGGATCGCCACGTATTTGCTAAGTCAACAGAAGGCGCAGCGATAGTGCATGTATCGAAGAGTAGTATAGCAAGTTGTTCCGTGGTTGCAAGTGCTTGACAGCCATCTTGAATTGTGGCATCGGGAATTACGTCCTGGGGAAAGTATTGGTTTTTAGGATCTGAAATTACGTCAAGTACACCGCGAAGCTTGGACAGCCTATGATCAGTTAGTTTGAAAGAGGTGCATGCGGCGTGAAGAGAGTTGATCAACAACCGCTGAACCGATGAGCGGATGTCGGCCGGGCCGGTATTTGCAAGCATCGTGACGACGTGGAATATTTCTGGCATATAGAGTTGAGACTGCACCCCACAGTCAAATGACAGTGCAAGACAAAATTGCAGCAGAATACAGATTTCGTCCCAGACCGCGTTCTCCGGGAGGTATCGCGTGGGCCGGAGCACTGAGCGATTCAAAGCTTTGCGTAGACGAGAGATTACCTTACCACGAAGTGTTATCGTGCCGATCGCTATTACAGTCGAGGTTAAAGCCTGTGTGTGGTCATCATCCGGGCCAACTGCAAGAGCAGACTTGATGATCTCCTCCAGGAAAATATCCAGGAGAACTTCGTCCTTATAAATTGCGGGCCACACCGTATGCTCAAGCGTCATGAAAAGAGAGGAATCCATCACCGTAGTATCTATGAGTTTCTGAAAGATAGCAGCTATCTTCTCTTTACCTCTTTCACTATCATTGTCGTCGCCAAGGAGTGACGTCCGTAGGCTCGATAACCAGGGTGCCATGTATGCAAGGCTCAAAGGCTTTTGTTCTTCAGGAAAGTTTTCCCAGCCGACGAAGAATTCATTCAGGAAATCAGCCGTCAGCTGCGGTTCTTCCTGGGCTAGAGTCTTGCTCATATTAACAATGAACTGGTTAGGGTCCATAGGTATGTGCACATCTAAATCGTGTGTAAGTTACTTCAGACCAATAGGCTGATACGAGTTGTGATTATTACTCACCATTGATGCACATAAATTTTGATGCTGCTTTGAATTTAAATGCTTGACAAAGGGCTCCTAGAAGGTTATATGACGCGATCCTGAGAGCCTGATCAGGCGCCGCCAGGTTCAAAAGAGCTAGATTCAAGAGTGTGCCGGGAATGTCTTGTGGACGGATGAGCCTCTCGAATGACTTTACAGTCCTGGTATCCTTTCCATATTTTGCCTTAGCACCCCGGATAGTTTGAAGAATCTCGTTTTTCATGGGACTTTGAAAGTACATAACGATTTTGCCGTTATCAGCCCGGAGTCCGAAAGCAGAATCATCTTCAGTTGGAATAGAAGTTGGTGCTTCGTCGACGTCGCCAAGGCGGAAGATGTCATTGATAATGGCATTGAGACGATAGGTAGGATGGACTTCCTGCTTTCTCACTGTTGCAACTTGGACATACTGGCTACCAACCTTGATAGTGACCTCAATCTTTCCCTTTGTTTTTGAGAGTCTAGTGACAGGTTGGAAAGTATAACGTGTGTCATTCGGGGCGCTGGCGATTTCCTTGGGAAAGCGGGTGTGATCAATCTGGAAATGCGCTCGGAGTTCTTGCAGGGTCCCAAGAAGATGTATCTCGATATTTAATTTTTCAAACAGATTCGCATCACGTTTACCAGCCACACGCAGATTCCGCCGAAAGGTTTTCCTGTTTTTATTAGCACACGACTTGATAATTCGAGTGAGATCATACCTATAGGTGCTGTTCATATTGTAAATATAGCATCTGGACAGATTGTTCGATACTTCAGAAGGCGTGAGAAGCTCAATTTTCTTCGCGAGATCATCATAGTAGTCCGCAGATCCGTTGTCGCATGTTGCATCAATGAATACACCAAATGGTTTGTGCCAAAGACGGCTCGCAAGCTTTAGAAAAATAGTATTAATAAATTGTTCGAGAGGAAGTCGATAGTGACTGACCTTTAGGTAAGCAAACAACAAAGAATCATGATCGGTAGACTCTCGGTCAATGTGGCGAAGGATTATAAATATTATTGAAAGACCATCCTGTTGTCGATGTCAGCAGCTTAATGTCACTTCAGGGTTCTAGCGCAAACCTTCGTCTCCCCTCCATCATAAATAGCGCGAGATCCCATAGAAGAACCGTTATCGCGAAATGCATTACGGAGCATGAAGTGTTGAAATCTCGAGTATGTGGGCAAGTAATTCGCAGAGATCTGTGGCCGATTCCATGTGATTGCTAAAGACGGTGGACCCAAAGTGGTCGTAAGGGCTGGAAGTAGCTCGAGAGCTGGCGCACGGCCGCGAGATAGCTCACCAGGGGTACGTATCTGTTCTCTTCGTTCTTGAGACATAAGTCGTTGCCTTACGTTATCTCGATGCTCATATAGGAAACGGTGGAGGATGACGCAAGAACCGAAGTCAAATGATTCAAGTTCGGACCGTGAGGTATCAAGATTCTCTGGAAGAACCTGCTAAAAGTTTAGCAATAAACAAAGCTGTAAGGATGTACTTCTTACAGATATTTCCCGTAAAAACGTCGTCACATTGTAAATATTCTGGGTCAAGAAGTCGTTTAGCGGGTACATGTATGGCTCCTTGGCCCCGAAGAGAACGTTGTTCGCCAAGTTCTGGATGACCTTGGCGATTAAGAGTAAACCTCGCCGCATTTCTTTAGAAGGGGGCTCGTCTACAAGCTTTTCTGATTCTGGTGCGACAATAGCCGGGCAGAAGAACCGAAGAAAGATGAAAGCCCCGACAGCGGTATACTTTGCCTCTTGGAACCTCGGCATGACAGCAGTGGAGATCTAGCAAAAATATCAGCTA